TTTTGAACGTCTTTTGCGGGACAGTGCTTGATTTCCTTCTCCCAGGCGGCCTTGGTGTGGGGCGTACGTCTCCTTGGCGCGGCCGTGTTGTTCCTGGGGGTGTCAGCTAGAGATATTCTTTTTGAAGAGAGAGAGTTTTGGAGAGACAGAGAGAGAGAGGGAGGGAGCGTACCATGACAGCCTCGAGGCGCTCGCTGACGCGCATCTCGCGGTCGCGGGCCTTTTCGAGCTGGACACGCAGGACCTTGGTCTCGTCTCGGTAGCGACGCATCTCGCCCTCGGCCTCCTCGCGGCCGAGCATGGCTCGCTTGAGGGCGGCGTCGGCCGTCTTGCGCTCGAGCGACTTGGACTGCATGGCGAGGGTGTTGAACTGGCTGATCTTATCGTGGACAGGGCTGGAGCGGAGGTCACTTCGCAGCGACGCCATAAAGGTAGACTCGCGGTTGGCGCGGTCGGGCGTTATTGGATTGAGGGGCCCGCCCGGCGAGCCCAGGTGGCTGCGTGGTGAGTCCATTGTGCAGCGGCGCAGGCAGCGTCGTGGGCCGCACTGGGGAGGAATGTAGCGGTTCTGGTCTCGGGTGTGGTATGTTGTGAAGCCTGGTTGTCTGACGTGGATGATGATGTCGATGCTGCTATTGGCATGGGGTCCCGACTGAAAGCGACTGAAAGGGGGCGGAGGTATAGCAGAATTTTGACTTTTTAGCACAGACTAGAAAGTGGTTTGGATGGACGGATGGATTGTCATCAGATGGTGGATGGCATCTCGTTGGTAGCCTGTCGTGTCGTGTCGAGCATGTATGCTGTGGATGAATGGATCGGGGGGCTGCTCTAGTGTCGAGCGTGTTTACCCCATCTTCCCTGTCAGTTGCTGTTCAATTACCTATGTATGGGTGGGGGGGGGGGAGTGTGTTGCCACGGTGATGGCATTTGATTATATCAGCCTTGTCAACGCTGACCGTTCAGGGCTCTTCAGCATGTGGCCAAGGCCAAAGGGCACGTGCCACGGCCTCCCCACCAAGGCCCGACACCACTGGTCACAAGCACAGGCTTAAGTCGAAGGCCGGAGGGCAGGTACGCCCCATGGC